GGAATGCCTGCCACCTCCAGGATGTACAATTCCAGCCCAAGAGTGGCCCCAGCAGAATGCACAGGCAAACATAAATAAGGAATTAACCTTCTCAGTTCCAACAGAGGACAATATCCTGCTTTGTCTCCTGGCAGTGGTCAGAGAAATCATCCAGACTTGTCAATAAATGATCCATGTTGGTAATCCCATGGCAAGGATCAAGGCTCCTCATCCTGCTCCCATCCCAGCTGGCAGCCCAGCCCTTCCCTCTGCTCACACCAGCACCTGCCCTCCCAGCAGGGGGTTACAGCCAGAAGAACACTTGGATTAATCGCTGCCTCTTCACATCACTGTGACATCCTGGGCACTTTTTCACCATCTAGAGAAACAAATGAAGAAACCAGGTCATAGGTGACATTTCTGTCAAGTCTGCAGTTGTCTGACATGAGCTGTAAACCCCACCAGGCATTTGGCAGATCCCAGGTGAGTGTACATGCTATTTTCTTTTCAATGCACTGTTACCTGTGCCCAATTACTTAACTGCTGATAACAAAACTTAGAGCAGCTGTCTCAGATTAATTACAGCTCTGACACATCTGGAAGACAATTCAGGAACAAGGAAACAGTGGGGCTGTGAGAGCTACTGTGCAGCACAGAGGGAACTGGAATCAGAAAGATCCTGTAGGATGGCTGAGGAGTGCCCTGAACTCCTGCTTCCTCTTGCCCAGATGAGAAGGAAGTGATCTCCTGGCCACACCAGGGGTGACACATGTGGCCACAACCAAGAGTTTTGCAAGGGCAAGAAGTACATTTATTTCTTCATACCACCCCACACCTTTCCCTGTGAGCAGAGCACTGGGCACATGGGGCAACCATTTCTGTACCCAGGGCTCACTTAAAAAATTATGATCAGTCAAGAAATACAGTCTGGTCTTCAGACATTTGACCTGCAAAGGAACCCAAATCTTGCAAATTACTTTTAAAACTCAAATTCTCTGCTTGTTTCAAAAGTGCAACAGCATTAATCTTCTGGCTGAGCTGGTGGTTTCTCCCAGCAGGGGCTCTGTGCAGGGCTCCTGCAGGGCAGGGTCAATTGCTGTAACAAGAGATGCAGACTGCAAAGTCAGTTCAGACATCAGTATTTTGATTCCAGAAACATTAATTGAAATATCATAAATGACTCACTGAATTACCATCAATGGAGGGGAGAGGAAAAACTCTGCTCCCAGCAGACAGGGATTTGTCAGAGAGCTCTAAAAATTTTCAGCATAATGTATCATTGTGAAATCTTATTCTTTGCCCATGTTACAGATAGTTCAAGTGAGAGTAACTCAGTGGCTCTGGAATCTCTGCAGAAGAGCTTGAACCAACACTGCACTGAAGCACTGAAAAGCAGCAATAAACTTTTGCAGAGAAGATTAAAAGCAAAACAGCAGCACATGCTGCTGACACAGCTTTCCCAAGGCCTCCCTCTGAAAAGCACCCAAGAGGCATCAGGTCTAATCCCTCTCTCATCCCTCTCATCATCCCTCCAGCTGCAGGGAATTCTGTCTGCTCCTCCAAAAGCTTCTAAAACTTCCCAAATTATTCACCGCCTCCTCCCACCATGAAGCTTCAGTAAAAATATTGGAAAAGGCCTCACAACTGGTAAAACCCAAGTCAGAGCCCTTGAATAACAGGCTCTTAGTCACTTCCTCGTAGAACAACAGCACCAAGGGCTCTGGAGATGGAAAAACACAGTAACTTGTTAGAAAAAGAAAAAAACAGGTTTTCAAATCCAGTCCAGTCAGTGGTGACAAAGCCCCACGCCATCCGAGAGGTCAGAGCCCAGGAAGAAGCCACAAGGTTGCTCATTTGCTCCTGGCAAGGGCACCTGTTTCCAGCCCTGGCCACAGAGTCAACTGTGTAACCAACCAGAAATGCAGATGGAGTTGGTAGATGCCTCCCCTGGGATTAGTTTCAGGGCAACAGGGAATAACCATCTTCCTGTTTGCAACCCCCTGCTCTCAACCAAGCTGTTCTCTGCTAGTTGTGCTGATGGTGGAGGAAGAACAGCTTTGCCTTGTCACTGGAGAAGTGTCTCTTTCCCCATCAGCCCTCAAGCAATACCCCAAACTACAAGGTATTTGACTTCTCATTAACCAACTCACACTTGAATCCCATTGTAAGCCAACCAAGGGTACTGCACCAACAGGTCTCAGCTGTTAGATGATGTTTCTTCCATTCCCCAGGCCAAGAAAAAAAACATTATTAGAAATAAGGACTTTGTTGTATGTTGTCTATGGAGATGAGAAATGAATGACCCTGTTGGTGTATGTAGAAAGATTCCAAAGGTCTTCAGAAGGACTCTTCTGGAGGACAGGGCATCCATGATTAATTCTTGGACAACTGGAGGATTTTTTTTTTCTGTTCTTTTTCAACAAGAGGGGCATGAACCTAGACTAGCAAGAAGGAGGTTCAAAATGACAGTAAAACAATGAGATGGTTCTTCAAATCACCTCTGGCTAAGCTGTGGAAGTGCTTTCTGGAGGTCATGGATGACAAGTTCACTTGTGCCAAAGGGAACTGGACAACCTGATGGAAACGCATCTGAGGTTTCTCAATGTACAGAAGTGACCTCAGGGTCAGCTCTTGTGCTGCAAAGCTGTTTGGGGCAAGGAGATGATCTGTGAGAATCATCCTTCATGCTTGCCACGTTCTTCTGCCTTTCCAAGCCATCTTCTTCTGGCCACTCTGAGCTAGAACACTGGGCTGGATGGACCCTTCATGTCTGCTCTTCTGTTCTGATTCTTTGCCTCAAACTACATCTGCTTTTCCTGCTCCTCACAGATGGTGAGGCTGTGCTCACCAGGCAGGACTGTGGTTGCCCTGCCACAAAGCACAGCCCTGATTCATCCAGGTAAGAAAAACAGAGATTTTCCTTCCCTGCCATCACCTGGCACAACGTGGGATGCAGTTTCACTGTGACTGGGAAGATTATTCATGGAGGTGGCAAATCCGGAAATCATTAATAACAAATAACCCACGGGGAATGACTCACTTCCCCAGAGGTGGCTTGTATTGCATCCCTGAATAGAACAGGAAAGCTTCCAGCTGGAAGGAACCTACAGCAGCCACCTGGTCAAACTGCCAAGGCTGGTCAAAAGTTAAAGCATGTGATGAAGGGCACTGGGGCATCAAGCACCTCTCCAGGAAGTCTGTTCCAGTGTTTGATCACCCCCTCAGCAAAGAAATGTTTCCCAGTATCCAGCCTAAACCTCCCCAGACACAGCTCTGAACTGCTCCATGCATCCTGCCACTGGATCCCAGGGGACAGAGTTCAGCACCTCCCTCCCCACCTCCTTTCCATGGAAAAAGCAGAAGGCTGAGGGGCAACCTCATCACTTCTCAAAACTGGACAAACCCAGAGTCCTCAGGACATTCCTTCCAACCCTTCCACCAGCTTTGTCACTCTCCTCTGGATGCAGCCCAGCACCTGAATCTGAAACACAGCCCAACCCAAAGACCCAACTGCTGGAATCCTGGTCTGAGAGAGATGCAGGCAGAAAAAGGAGTGATTCAAATATAAACAGGGCTGAGCCTGTTCTGTGATTTATCTGTGAGCTACAAAAACACACTGACCTGGGGGCTAAGAAGAAGAACAGACCTCAGAAATAGCAATTTGAAGACAAGAAACAACTGTTCTGCCCTGTTCTGTGGTTAATATACAGGAGCTCTGGGTTTGTGGGTCCTTGAGCTGACGACACAACAGTTACAAAATCCATCTTCCTGGCAAAAGGAGAGATTTTTTTCCCCACACATTTCTAAGCTTAACATTTATGGGCTGAGGAAACATAACCTCCTTGTGGGACAATATATGTCTGCCTAACCAAGGAAGCCCAGGAAGCTCATTCTGTTCCTTAACCAACTCAGGTCTGAAGTAGCAGAGATGATAAACAGCCCATTGTCCTTTGGCACAGAAGGACCATTCAGCAGTTCCCACACCAGGGAAGGGAGCTGGCAGCCCAGCTTGCAGCAAAAGAGGTGCCTTCCTTTCACCTTTCTTACATATACCTTTATAATCCAATACTTCTGGATGTTAACATTTGTAAAGAAATAAGGAATTGCAGCCTGAGGATGAAACTGAGATGGACAGCTATTCTGAATTCCCTCTGGGAGATGGATGGCTGACAACATCCACCTGGACATTGTTATGTATTCCTCTTGGACCAAGTCTGTCTTGCTCATTATCTTTTATTTGACCAGTACCATATTGTTCATATTCTACACTTAAGTGACATAATTCATTCTCTTCTTCCCCAGAAAAAAAAAAAAAAGACCTTCCTCTGGAAGGTCTTATTATTATGGTCTTCTTGGAATTATTATTTTGTACTTGCTTATAGATTCACAGGGTGAAGAAATGTCTTTTCCTTCTGTGCTGTTTTCAGGCAGGTACCTGAGCTCCCTTAGAGGCCACTCAACTCTTGGATTAGACCTCCAGGGTGACAGATGATTAATCATAGAATGGTTTGGGTTGGAAGGCACCTTAAAGATTAATCAAAAGATTAACACCTGTCAACCAACCCAAACCTTGGGTAAGATGGTACCTAACACACACCCTGTGGGTTTTACAACCTCTTACAAAAAGAATTCCAACCACCAACTTACTCAGCCAGGAAAACCAAAGGACAGGATAGCACAGGAGATAACTGAGCACGAATCTGGGGAAAACTGTGGAGCTAAGCAAGAAATAAAAATTCAAAATAGAGGTTTTTGCAAGTTGGCTCCACAGCTCCAGACAGGAAAAGTCTTGAAGAAAGCTCAGAGGGAGCTGCAAAGATGCAAAAAGGTCAGCTTGAGGCAGAGATCTGCCTCCAGCCACACTGCAGAACATGGAAAGGAACAAAACAAGTGGGATTCCAACAGGATTTAGGTGTTCCCTCTGGAAAGAGAGGAATTCTGCTTCAAGGGCTGTCCATGTGGCTCTCCTGAAAAGAACAAAATTGACCAGCAGTTTCAGGAAACACTGAAACCAGTAAACAAGATAACCTGTAAGAACTGCTCCCAGCAGGTTTTGCAGCAAGTGAAGTCACAGAAAGGACATTTAAAAGGCACATCATCCTCCGAGCTGCAGTTAGAGCACAGGAATCTTCCTACAACAGAGAGGGGTGGGGACAGAGAGGGGAGAGAAAGAGAGGGAGGAAATGACTAAATTCCAGTAATCAGCTGTGAAATTCTCATGCTTACACCTTTCCAGTGCAGTCCAGAAAGCAATGGCCAAGCAGCACCTGGCCTTGCTCATTAGTTCTTTCACAGGACCTGAGTCCCTGGGTGCTGCAGAGCCCCAGTGAGGAGCTGAGGCTACAACCCTGCTTCACAAGGAAGCTTTCTAGAAAAATCCATAAGTTCTCAGGAAACTATGACATCATTGAGATAAAGACAATAAAGTACAATCAATACTGCACCTAAGCAAATACAGGCATGAACCACACATGATTTGATAGAACAGCAGCACAATTCTGAATTCTAGAGCTTATCTTTATTCCTGGGTATCAGAACTGCATCCAAACTCTCACCTATACGTACCACACTCTGGCTCCATCTCGAGGGGGAAGATGGGCACAGCTCCAGGGTCCGTTGCTGCCCTCACCTGACCGGTTGCCTTTGATCCTTCAGCCTTTGGCAGTTCGAGTTTGCTTTGCTGGTTAAGGCAGAAGGAGGAAATCTCCATCTGAACTGTCTCTGGTGCCTCACCCCTAGAAGTGGCTGCACCTAGTTATAAAAAAAACCAACACCACAAATCACAGAATTACCTTGGTGGGAACTGTCAAGTCAACACTGACAAGTCCCTAACTAAACCATATCCCCAGGTACTACAGCTACACAACTCTTTAATGCCTCCAGGTCTAAGGCAGAGCATGATGCACAGACTCTGCCAAACACAATTAGCAGGAATTTCTCACTGTAGAAGAAGAAAAACACAATTTGAATGATTTTTTTTTATGCCATTCTGCTTGGTAACAGAAGCTGCTGATACTTCCACATGCATTATTACTGAAAGGGACTTTTTATATTTAAATAGTTCAGTGGAAAATCTCCCTAGACAGAGTTAGTCCTGAGCCACTCCTGCTCCCATCCTACTTAAATGCAAAAATTCTGCCCTCACCCATAAAGCACCCCCCAGTATGAAGAAGAAGGCACTGCAAGTAATAATTGTTCTTGTTTCCTTGCACTTCCCCATCTCACATTGCCTTCTACCTCACACCTGCTTTGGTTGCTTTTTGTAAACACAATTTGGGCACAGCAAATTGCTTTGATCTTCCTTTACACACCCAGTGCAGAGACCCCAGAGAAACTTCAGAGAAATGGTCATTCCCAACCTTGCACGTGGCTGTCTTCTTCTTTAGGGCACCAGTTCTCCAAAGGGACCCCTTCACCTTTCCCCAGCTGTTGCCATTGCTTCTCTCCCTCTCCACAGACCAGCCCAGTCAGATCTTTGCACATCTCTTTGAACTGCTGCTTGTGGTGAGGACGCACAAAGATGTAAAACCCTGCCCAAAAAAAAGACAGTGAAGCGCTCAGGGAGAGCTCTGGAGGAGATAAATTCTTTGGAAGCTGAACAGTATTAGCTGTACTCCAGAGAGTATCTTCACCGTGGTGGAACACGATGTTTTTGTTGGGTTTATAATAGGGTTTTCCTTGCCAGAAGACAAATCAGTATTTAGTATTGAAACATCATCTCAACTGACCTCAAATCCCCTCTGTTCTCTACAGCTCAGCACAACCACCTGAACCAGCCCCTCACCTGACAACTGATCTAGAGGCATCAGGTACATCCACCAGACCTGGAAAGACTTTCTCAAGAAGGAAATTTCTTGTTACTGTTTGGTTGACAAGGATTCACAACATACACAGAGAAATTCCCAATTATGATTTTCTGCCAAGGACAGAAATTCTACCACCAAGTCCTCTGAGGTCAAAATATTTGCTTAGTAAAGATACTGACTCTGCCTGTTGGAAAGAATCCTCAGGGTCAGATTATGACTCACTGTGCCACGGAGTTCATTTCCCTCCCAATATTCAAGTCAAGATTAATCTAATTAATGCATCAGAAAAAAGTTATTTTCCAAAAATTTGGAGACTATGACATCTCTTCAAGGTCACTGGAATGCTTATTGTTACTTCCTAAAGATCATAAATAAAAGTCCATCAGCAATTCCCAGCATCCACTATATGAATAATTTCCTGCAGAGAAGCTCCCACCAGAGACATGGGAGAAGGTGGAACTGAGGTGTTACGTAGCATGAGATGTTTCCATCAAGGCAATCAAGACCAGCAGATAATCCTACTCTTGAATGAAGCCCAAGTTCTTGTAGCTTCCTAAATCCCTCTACCACCAAAACCATGAAAGGAAAAACACTAAACAAACCACTTTTGAAAAAATAAATATTAGCTTGAGATGCCTAGAAGATTAGTATGAATGTTAAGCAGACTGAATTCTGACACAGTTCAGAAACTATTCCCAGGTAAAGATCTGGAGCAGAAGAAGGAATGAAAACTGTGACTGCTTATCCCAGAACCTGGCAAGTGCTCTACAAGCTTAGCACTGGACTAGTGTCCCATGATCATGGAGCCAAACTGGAGGCAGTTCAATAGTCAGCACTGTCCTTGCTGAAGAGCAATCCTTTGTGGTAATTGAGGAGCAAAGGAATGAAATCACTTGACTGGAGTTATCTGGACTGAAGGGCTGGAATTGCTCAGGTCTTATCTAATGCTTTTAATGGAGAATTTCTAACTGAACAGAATATTTTATACCCTTGACATTTTTGCTCACTGGATGCCACTCACTTTACACAGTCATTACTGCTGCTCCATCTATCTGGTTTGCTGAATGAAGGGGTGGGAGGGGTGAAGTTTACCAATGCTCAACACTTTTCCCAGAAGCGGAGAATTTGCAAACTAATGGCAAGTTATTGCTCACATGTGCTCACAGCACCTGCATCTTCTTTTCAACCATATAAAAGCATTTAAACCAAACAATATCTCCTTAAAGCATTTAAAGCAAAAAATATCTCTTACTTTGTAGAAGATGAAAGTCCTCTGGCCTCTCAGTGGTGAGGGCTGCTACCACTGGTATCATGGCATCATAGTCATCTGTCCTCTTGTACCTCAGCAGTGCTTCATAGAAACGGCTGTAGGTGCTTTTGTCCAAAGCCCTTCTCACATCCTGCAGGTAGGCAGCCCTGAGGACCTGGTGGTGATCCCTCCTGCAGCTGGAGGCTTTTTCAGTGTCCTTCCTTGGAGCTCGACTGGCATTCTGCCCTGAGAGACACAAACACTGTGAGCAGGGCTTGGGGAGAACAGGACAAACAGGTTGCTCCTTTCAGAAGGGGGTTCCTGGACACAGTAGGCACTCTGGGCTTCAATTGTATCATCTTCTGGAGTTTTGGGTGGGGTTTTTTTATCTTTTAAATGGAAAAATGAGTCAGATGGTCACTCAGGAATGAGAAAAAGGTGACACAGAAGACACTGCACATGGAGGGTGGCAATAAATCAGGTTTTGGGCTACACTGAAGGAGCAGAAGCATTTTACACAGGTGGCTGAACCAACTGTGCTGGCCAGGCAAGTAAACTGCTGAGAGCAGTTTTAAAGAACAGATTTCCCACCCTTTATTAACAAAAGGAGAAAAAGGGTGAGTGTGTTTCCCAACAGGAAAACAATGCCAGAAATTAATAACTAATGTGCAATAACACACAAACTAGCACAGGAGCAATGCAGGAGAACAGGAGGAGGTAGGAGCAGCTCGGAACATCCTGCT